TTTCCTACCTGAAGTAAAACACGAAGCATAGTTCTTGTATAAGGGACTGATGCTTATGATTCACATTTTGAGATGTGTACTGTTATATGTCAGTGGTAATTTTTGTTCATGTGTATTACATAAATATGAAATTTCAGATGACGGTGTTTTTCTAACACTGCATGCAACTAGAGTAAGAAAATACTGGGGCAGTCTGTGAAGAGAGGTAGGTGAAGAAAAGAAAAATTATTATTAAAATAATGCCAAAGGTGTCATAATTGGAATTCTTAGCAGAAAATTTGAAATTCTTAGGCTTTTAGCATGGTTTTTTAAAAGTATAAAATACCTAGTGGTGGCATGATGGAATACATGTTTATACACAGACCAAGGCAGACACAGAGGTCTTGTTAGTCCCCTCCATTGCACCATATTCATGCTGATGGAATGTTGGTAAGGTCAGTGGAGTTACCTGGTGGAGCACTAATGCAGAAATGTGAAGAATTATGTCTCACAACCGCTTATCTTTCGGGAGAACTTCCGTAAAGTCTAAAAAATCATATGCGGAAGAAAGGATCCTAGTGTCCCTCAGGAGACCAAATTCAGGCCTGAATAGAAACAAAAGTGCCCTGATTTCCCTCTGCTTCTGATCATGTTTTATTAGATACAGCTTTATGACATAAGCAAAGTTAGACATGCATAAAGGCTGGACCAGGGCTGAGACAATTTCACCTCTGTGCCACCAGAAGGGGCTGTATTGCTGCTTTTCTTCAACAAGATTGGCACTCAACTGCCAGCATGATCTGGTCTTACAGATCTTATGAGGAGCAGCTGAGGGAGCTGGAGCTGTGCAGTCTGGAGAAGAGGAGGCTGAGGGGGGACCTTATCACTCTCTATAACTACCTGAAAGGAGGCTGTAGTGAGGCGGGTGTTGGTCTCTTCTCCCAAGTAACTAGCGATAGGACAAGAGGAGGTGGCCTCAAGTTGCGTCAGGGGAGGTTTAGATTAGATATTAGGAAAAATTTCTTTACTGAAAGAGCGATCAGGCATTGGAACAGGCTGCCCAGGGAAGCGTTGGAGTCACCATCCCTGGAGGTGTTCAAAGAACGTGTAGATGTGGCACTTCATGACATGGTTTAGCAGTCATGGTAGTGTTGGGTGGATGGTTGGACTTGATGATCTTAGAGATCTTTTCCAACCTTTATGATAATATGGTGATTTAAGAAACAGAAAACTAATCCCTCCAAAAAGTTCTAAAATTCCATTCTACAGCACTAGTTTTCCCAAGAGGCTCAACATAGTGTCAGACAAGCACAAGGGAGATAATGGGAAGCTGTGTTCACAGGAAAGGGAATTAGCATATTGAGGCTGCCTATATATACCACCTGACAATCAAATTGGGCTATTTTAATTCAGAAGTGTGGTAACCACGCTGTTATGTGATCTGAAGTGCTGGCGTGTTGTACTTGCTTTATCCAGCGTGGTATACTTGGTCAAGAGATATTTCTTTTCCTAGACAAAGACTCATCTGATCTAAAATTAAAGTTAGTCTGAATTTAATTGGAAATTTTAATGGTTGAATGTCAAACACTTAAACAACCCAAACCAGAAAACCCTAAATTCAGGGGCGAGCCCTCCTTTACCCAAGTGAAACAAATAAATAGTCCCAGATTTCTGAGATATGAACAGTTTCACTGCAAACTGCTTTGAGAAGAAAAGTGGGGGAGTTCTAAGGAAACCAAAAACACTGCTGAAAAAAACCCAGATAGTTCCTGAGAAAATGCTGGCTCTGTATGAGGAAAAAAAAATAAAAATTGATGGTGAAATGTCAACAGAAGAGGAAGAAGCTGTTGGATTATCAGGGTCCATTGTGACTGTGCTTTATAAGACAGAAGAGGTTCTATCCTAAAGTCAGCTGAGGAACAGAAAACTGTGCTTGTGAATGGGTGTGTGGACACAATACTCACACTACTACAATACATTTATGATGTGGTAGTAGTAAGTTTTTAAATGAAAATAGAAAAAAAAATTCTCTTACATTTCTCCCTTGATGTGAAAAAAACATACAATTGAGCCTTTCTTTTAAGTGAATCATTTACTGTATATTGTTTCTGTATGTATGTTGTTTGGCCATCATTTTAAGAAAGCTGTATCGCATGGGCAGAGTCCACTGGAATGAGTAGATTAGTTTATTCTTCAGGGATATAGCTTCAAGTTCTCTGCATTAGTTATACTAATTTCTGAAGATTTTCTTAGCAGCCATAGTAGATGGGGTCTTTTTTCAATAAAAGAAGAAAGGACAATTCTTAAGTGTAAAGCTGGGTAAAGGGACTTCAGAGTTCAGAAATTCTGCTCTGCAGCTGGCATTCAGTAGTAGACCTTGAGGATGTAACTTCTTCAGTGAGTAAACAGAGTCTTTGCTGTTACAGCTTATCTATACGATTAATGAAACACACAAAACATATTTTTAAATACTCTACTTAATTTGTGCCTTTCAGAGTGCATAAGCTCTGCACTTATGGGGTCCATCTAACCTGTTAGACTTGTTTAAAGCTAGATATCTACAAGTATAGCTTAATGATCATTTCTTTTGACAGCCTTACACCTTTTACAGGCTTACATCTTTGTGGGGTCACCTTCAAATTAGACAATCCCCAGTGTCAGGACCTGGCAAGTTCAATGGGATGGTTGAGGCAGTGAAGGAGAACCAAGACTGGGGACACAGAATGGGGTGGCTTAATCTGGTAGAGCAATAAGAAGAAATCCTTGTCAAGCTGCGGCATGGAGCTGTCATCCTAAACCTTCTTTATAGTCGACACCGTGGATGGTGATATAGCTGATTTAGGAATAGAGGACTTACCTTTTGGAAATAACTGGTCTCCTGGCTAATAAAGGGTAATTTTAAAAGGAGAGGTAGGGGATACGTCTGAACTTCAGGGGGAAAGAGGTATTACTTTTTCCTGGCTGGGTTAAAAAACCGCTTCCTTGTGATTTATTCACATCTACTCAAATAAAAGTATAAAGAAGAAAAGTAATCTGGGTTGGAAACCTTCACTTTCTGTGTCAGTGCAGTGTTCATTAAAACAGACCAGATACAACCTCTTGCACTAAAAGATTACACTGGAAACAAGATTAGAGGCTACTTGTGCTCGCTTCCAATGTTAGGAGGAGCACAGTAGACATCAGATCATTGTCACTTTGGAGCTGTTGAAAGAAATATGAGAAGGTAAAGATATTGACAAATATCTTGAACTGTGCTTATGAAAATGTGTTTGTGATAAATTATATGTAAAAGAGGTGGTTTCAAAAGTACACAAAAACTATCTATGCGTTATTGATGGTGATCAGCATGTCAGGCTGAGCCTCAGAAAATTTAAACTCTGAAGTTTCTATTAGTTTGTGGTTCAGCTACATGAGGTCCAGCACAAAAAGTAAAATATTCAGAGAACCTCATTTTCTTCCTTCAAAAAGCTGACTGCAGAGGCGATAGCAGGTTTGATTTGGTGTTGTGAATATCTAGAAAAATAAATACAGCGCACACAGCAAAAAAGTTCACCAATCCCTTCCCTCTGCTCATATATATTCTTATCAGACCTCACTGAATATAACATCTTTTCTGATTTAATGTGTTGCCTCTACAATGCTAGAATAGTTTGTGCTTCAGAGACCATTTTCTTAGTAAATGCAAGATTTTTCCATGCATTTACTAAAAAAATCCCACTGGAAGTTTTCTTCACATCTCGTGGCTTGGCGGGGCCTCATCCCTCACCCTCCCCTTCCGTCTTTGGACTGATCATCTATCTTATTAGGGAAAACCAGCACATGGGATTATTTCTGGTTGTTATGCAGCAGTGGAAATCATCCAGACTCTTCCCCCTGGCCTGCATTCCCAAGGAGCCACCAATTACAAAGTCTGAGTTTTAACTGATCCTCATAAATCAATGCTATTAAAATCATTACACAATGATGTAATCTCTATCCAAAGTATAGCTTCATTGCATTTGATTATTAATAATTGTATCAAAATGATAATTTTCTCTTAAGTATTTTAATGGGTGTTTTTAATATCTGTATGCAGCTGCACTTTATCACTCAATGTATCTCCTTTGCGGGTCTTCAACTCACATCTGCTGACTTGATGGACTCTTACCATGCCAGTGAAGAGCCTTGTGAATAGCGGTGTAGCTATGGGAGTGGGGATGGATTCTGCTTCGCTTAGTGACAGCACAACTGTCAGCTCAAAGCTTTCTCTGCAGAATCTGCCTGACTAATGACCATGGAAGGGTCAGAAAAAAGCACAACTGGGGCTGCCGTTCACAGGTTGAGATGGAAACCCTGAGGATAGAATATTAATCTTTTGCCTCAGCACATTGGACATGGGAGTTATTAAGAGAACATCAGTCTGTATTCCCATTACAACTTTTCAAAGTTAGACTGCAGCTTGATCAATTCTGACTGAATTTCCTTCTCAGGATATTCTTGTCAAAATTTTTATTCACTTTCTTCCTTTGTCAAAGCAGAATCTACTCTTCTTCTGAAGATACTAATCCAAGTTCTACCAGTTCATTACAGAAGCTGTGTGTCAAGTTTAAAATATTTCTAATAAGAATGGAATTTAGGTATTTTTTGGCACTAAATCTGCCTCGTATTCTCAAATGTCAAAGGTAGTTGTAAAAAGATGCTCTAGAGCTTGCGAGTGCATGTGAGTGTGTGCATATCTCTGTGTGTGTATATTTATCAATTTATGGTTATGAAGTGTTGTTTCCTATTACATACATATTTCTGTTCATTTCTCCGAATAATCCTATGTGTTTTAGTTTGAATAGAAAAGATTCTAAAGAAATATACAAAAAACATAATGTTTCCATCTATGTTTTAGTAATAGGACATTACAAATAGGGTTCATTTTAACCTCCCAGCTAGAATGTTGAAACTGGTTAGTATGAAATCCTCTCTTTTCTTCCATCCACGTAGTTATTATTCTGTAGCTGGCTTTGTGTAACTTCATTATATTATGTTCTCAGGGCTGTTGCTGGAGTTGATGGAGACCCTGATTTAGTTCATATGGAAATCCAGGACCCCAGTGGAGGTATGCAAATGAAAACGTTATCAATTGATACCCTAGTGTATAGTCATTTCTCTTTGGTTTAGAGAGTACTTTTTGGATTGTTTTTCAAACTAGTCAGAACAGAAATTGTGCAAGTCAGATTCTTCCTCTGTTTGTCTGTAGTCAGCAAAGCTGTCCTGTTGTATAAAAATATAGTATAATTTAAAATTTACTTGTTTTTCACTCTAAGATGAATTGATGTCCAGATGCTATGCTCCACTGAAAATGTCCATTAGTAGTGCAATTTATTCTGGCAGTTAAACGTTGAACATTTTTTCCTGATTTGCAAATAAAACTGGCAATGCAGTGTTAGTGCTGGGTAAGCGTCTGTTAAAATGAATTCTTGCATATGTCAGTCCTACTGCACTAACTACCATCTCCCAAAATTTCCTCATGTTACAGAATCCAGTGTACTTTGAGACTTCCAAAGGAAAATACATGCAAAAGGAGATTAGCAGTCAGGATTTTCTGTCCTAAAGTCACTATGATTCCAAAAGCTTGTATAGTTTATTGTTGCCAATTGTACTCTTGAAAGATAGTTTAATTCCTTGAATCAGATCATCTAAGTTCCTGTGAAGTCTTAAAAAGGAGTTGTAAAGAATGCACAGTTTGACTTTGCCCAATCCAGTAGCTTTTCTTCATTTCAGCCCTATTAAAAAAAAAAAAAAAAAAAAATCAAAGTTACCATGTTAAATTCTGGATGACAAAGTTTCCAAATCTTTTAGCAGTGAGATTTCTGAGGCTTGGTGATCCCTACATAGCCCCATCAGCTGCTCTGTTAAGACACAGTGTAAGAAGATTCTTCAGTAGCTGGATGGAAAGAATTTTTTTAATTTCACAGAAACATCAGAAAAAGAAAAACTCTTATGAAATATCTCCTGGCTGGGCTCTCAACAAACTGACTTTGTGCACTTATGGTCAGTATGAGCATTGCCATTGATCTTTGTACTACATATCTGATGAAGAACTATAATGCTTGTCGTGAAATATGAATAGCTGCAAGACTTTTCTATGGCCCATTGCTGCGCTTGCTCAAATATCCTTGTGGTGATGATTTGCACACAAGCAGGAGAACTTGGACTGACTCTAGCTGCATCTTAAACAGATTCAGATTTTAAAACAAATATTCATGTCTAGTATATTGGTTTGGTCTTTTCCACTTGAAAGCCAGAAGGTGTGGAATGCATTTCCTATCACACTGCAAAAGTAATGAAGGACATGCGTGGGGGTGCATCATTTGCTCTGTCATATGGTATCTGGAGCATGGGGACAATTAGCAATCTGGACACAGGACTGTGTATATAACATTTTTCTCATTACACGTGGGAATGTCGCTCATGTACTTTGTGCTCAGAAGCTTGTGACCAAGGGTGAGCTGTACAAGGGCTTGAATCTAGGAGAAGGTCTTTGGGCTACAGCTGGTGTGAGACATGGTTATTAGCTCTGCTCCCTCTGATAAGAGCAGGTTGCATCAAAGATGTGGTGATGCTTTCCTAATAGCCCAGGCAGAGAGGATGTTCCTTGTCCATTGCTAAATGGAAAGGAGGAGAGAGGCCATAGCCTCTACAGATATAAATCAGTCCTGGCTCTTTCAGCAAGGTATTGACTCTGAATATAGAAGTCCTGCCCCAACAGAGCAGTTCCAATAATGTGTTAATAGCGTGTCTTAACTTTCCTACAGAGCTCTGAAAACAGCTTTTAAAATTCTGCATGCTGTCTATTAAATGGAGTCTGATTCTCTTCTTACTTATCACAATTTTATACTGAGGTTGATCTATTGATTTCAGTTACGTTGTGTCAGGCTGCAATTTTTCCAAGTGAATAATTTGGCTCTGTGCATAGGTTAAGTGAGAAAAGAGGCTCCTTCTATTATCCCCACCCATGAATGTCTCATTCTTCTAACCCCTAATCTCTCTGGACCAGCAAAATTTGGATAATAACAGGCTGCCTCCCGGGAATGATCTGAACTGTAAGCAGTTAATATATTCTCACTACACTGGAGATTGAAAAACTCTTGTATGAGGGTTTAATACAATAATTTTACAACTAACTCGACTGGCAAAGGCAGCGCTTTCAAAAAAATTCCCTACATTAATAACATTTTATACTGCTTGCTTCTTTTTCCCTTGATAGCCCTATCATATGTTTCTGTCTGTCTTCCCTCAGGTTATCGCTACATCACTTGCCAGATTCAAAATTGCTCTGATAAGACAATGACAGTCCAGTTTGCTGGTGGCACTGATCAGGATTCCCTGACTGTGCAGGATGACTACATATTTCTTCAGGTACTGCCACTTTCTGAAGAGACAGCCCATTTTCAAATTAAAAAATATGATGTTAAACAATGCAACAGCGCTGTAATTTAGCAGAATGGAGAAACCTGCTCCAGCATATGAACGATAATTTATGAATTTTCAGATGGAACAAAGCCCTCCTTTATCAGTCAAAAAAAAACATCACATCTATAACTTTTGCAACCAGTTGCCTATTTATACAATTGATTTTAATTTATCACTGACCTAGCTTTAACTAGATGGAAATTTTCAAGTGTATTGTGTGGTTCAAAGTTACTTATTTATAGATATTCTTGTGTGTTAGGCAAAATGCAACCCTTTCATTTTTGTGCTTACAACCTCCTCTGGGTCATTTCCAGTACCTCCATAGCACAAAAAATTTCCCTGAAAAAAGCATCCAAGGAAAGCCGCTGACAGAACAGTGTCTCAGCTTCTTCACATGGATTCTCCTGTGAAGAGGTTTTCCTGGGAAAGAATTTATGTAGTTGCCCTTGGGAAGCAAAAGGGCGAAATGGCCATAGCCGGGGAGCTTGGAGCAACTTCTGATGGCTCCAGTTACATCGGGGTTATTGCATTCCCAAACTACAAGACCTGCATGCAGAAACCTGGGCTGGGAGCTCCGTCAGCCTTATGGCAGTATGTACAGCTCAGGTACACTTGAAAATGTCGTTTTATGTGCTAGTGACTGGTGGTGATTTGAATCTGTCTGAGCTGCAAACTTCTTAACGAAAGGTTATGTCCTACTTGTTTTTTAAGATTTTCCTAGGGAAGTTACTTGTACTTTCCTCGGTGATTGGCGATCATTTTTCCCTTACTTTGATATGATTCCCCTGTTGCAAAGGCTTGTTCATTGACTCTTTCAGGAATGCAATGCTGTGGTGATGGATAGCTCTCCCCACCACTGCTTTGGTATATGTCAGATTGGCTTCCTTGCAGCTTTCCCCCGTTGTGGCTGTTTCTTCCAAATAGATCTGTAAATTGATAGAGACAGAAACTCTGTCCTCCTCTTGTTTGCCACAGTGGTTTCAAGAGCCCACGTGCCTTAGAACATTTAGCACCACAAAGAAACAGCAAAATGGATTTGTAAAAGTATTTTTGAGTTAAAATAGGCATTTTTCAGCTCAGGTCTAGCACCTGGTTTTGCTCAAAGGTGGTATTATCTGGGGCTCCCCCCAGGCACACTCTAAAATCCGTTTCATGGTGTATAGACAGTGAGAAGTTGTTCTCACCATATGAACTTCCAGACCGCTGTGCTCAGCAAAACACAGGCTGCTTGCTCTTCAAGCATTTTGTTTTCCCAGCCATCTTGTGTAATTCCATCTTGAGCTGTTGTAATTCAGTCTCATGCCAGGCATGGGCAGACAAGAAATGGAATCACAGAATCACAGAATAGTAGGGGCTGGAAGGGACCTCTGTGGGTCATCTAGTCCAACCCCCCTGCTGAAGCAGGGTCACCTACAGTAGGCTGCACAGGACCTTGTCCAGGTGGGTCTTGAATATCTCCAGAGAAGGAGACTCCACAACCTCCCTGGGCAGCCAGTTCCAGTGCTCCGTCACCCTCAGAG